ACCGTGAGGGACCCGCCGCGGCAGCGACTGGATAAGGCCGAGGGGAATGAAATCGCGGGTTTGGAGGGGAAAGGGCGAGCGTGCTGGGGCGGGGAGAAGGGAGGGTGAATCAGTATCATGGTCTTAACAAAAGGACTAAATCAGCCCTTGGAACTTCATCACCTCCGGGAAACAAAGATGAGTGCTCGCTTCCAACATAGGACTGCTAATGGTCGGGGATAATCATGGAGATCAACCCAATATAGATAAATATGGAATTCTTGCTACTGGACACCAAGGAGACTCTTGTCTTTGTCCGTAATAAAGAACCGTGTAGCCACTGCTGCAGATCAATAGTTCATACTGTTGCAAATGTGAAGAGGGAGGACTTCTCCAGAACTCACAGTCTGAAGTGTTTGCTGAGCTAATGTTTGCTAGCTGGAATATTTCACGTTTATGATTGTAACAGCTACACAGGTTTCAGTGAGGAATATTACAGAAGACAAACACTTGTTTCCAAAGTTCACCAAGTTAGATGTGCGTGTGAGGGGCAGCTAACCAAAAGGTTGCAGCAATTCAATTTTGTGTACTTTGTGTGAGATTACACATCATGATGTGGTTTTAAGTTGGTAGTATTTTTATTTTTCTTTTTTTAATTAAAAAGTGATTAATAACTTGTTAGGGCATGGTAGTTGAATTGTCTTGGGAAGTAAAGCAAATTCTGTATATATTTGGGATGACCTTGAGGTAATCTGTAAAGATGAGAGAATGACTTAACAAAGGTGGCCTGTTGGTAGTATCCCTTGTTCAGTGTGCACATCTAATTAGCCTCTGGGGTTCTACAGAGAGGATTTTTCAGCTCATATATATATATATAATTGGGATTGTATTTTTTCAGCAGCACAGTTATAAGAAGAAAACTGGATATACTGCATATGAACAGCTATTATCCATTTTTATAGAGATTATACTGACATTTTACTGTTTTACTAATCTTTAGTATCTTCTTGCTGCCATGTTGTACTGAAGCAGAAAGTTATCTGAGACTGTTCGATGAAAATGTTCAAATGCCTGTGGTTATTAATATGTAGCTTAGTAATGTTCAGAGGGCTTCCATCCTGCATCACCTTGTCTTTCTCTGAAATTCCCCTGACGTGATTCTGCCCATTTTAATTTCAGTGTTTGAACGCAGGAAAGATATTTTTACATCTCTGAAAAAATAAATTTCTTCCTGTTGAGACATTTTTCTCCAAATTTCAGAAAGTTTATTTTCATGACTAATTAAGCAAATAAGGAAGAACTGAAAACAGACTAACATCAAGAAAAACAAACTCAGAGGAACACATGCTGCTTATGACAGTGAGATTTCAGATACAACACACAGGGATTCAGGCTCGGGTGACGAGGACTCCCCCAGCTCACTGAAGCTGTATTGGGATGATTGGTAAGGTCCCTGGGCGCCTTCAGACTCATCTATCAGCAATAACTGACAGTTCGATAAAGGGGCAGTAGTTGTGGAAAAGTGTAATTTTGTCTTGCAAGTAAACAGGGAGCATGATGCTATTGGCCAACACCAGGCAGGTATTTCAGAGTTCTTGGGGCAGATCTGCACCCCACCCCCTCACCAGGGATCCTTATTCTCTGCCACAGGGGCTAAACAGATGCCTTTGCCTTGCAAGAAAGTGGCAAAAAGTTACTGCTGTCAGGTCACTGTCCCAGTTTTAGAGCCTCTGCAATGTGTGGAAACTGAGGAAAATGCAAACAGCACATCCCGTGTTTTTCCTGGATAACCAGTGCAAAGAGGCTGGGCACAGAAGCAGCAAAGGCTAAGGGTCTCTCTCTCAAACACAACAAATGGCACTTTTATGTGCAGTATGGTCCCTTAGCCCTTTGACTATGGACAAGGAAATGCAGATCCCTGCGTGTGGCCACGCACGCTGGCCCAGGGAAGCTCTGGTTAGCGTGTCCCCAGCTGCTGTTGTCCAGACTGCTGTGTAGCACAAGTGCATCCAGGTGAGGTTTAACTGCCATGCGGCTGGGGGCTGATGCTCAGGGACTATTGTCCCCACAGCAGAAGTGCTGAGCTAGCGTGAGTACCTGCCCAGGTCTTTGCCCATGCTTTCAGGCTGGGTTTGCAGCTCCTGCTGAGGCCAGCACTTCTCCAACCAAGCTGTTACCGGCCTTCAAGCTGTCCTCGTGGAAGCTGGCTTGTATTTTTCTGTATTACAGGGCAGCAGCAAAAGCAAGACTACAGTGTAGACATACCATGTGTCTCTCAGACCCACAGTACAACTTTATTTAGACAGACAAAAATATAAATAGGTAAATAAAACCACAAATTTTCTGGGTGATTTTGGAGAGAGCTGCCTTGAGGGTCCATATTTCTCACACGCATTCAACTAGGATACCTTCATTTTGCCTTTCTCAGGAGCTGCTTCATGGATGAGTGGCTGCTTATCCCCATTCACTGACAGGATCCTCTTTTCTGGCAGCTGCTCCTCAGGCTGGCGGGCAATCAGCAGACGACAGGTAAGCAGGATACCAAAGACTAGGGCATGGGCATAACGTTTGAGCGGATCCCCCACTAGCTGGTGGAAGAAGAGCACAGCCAGCACAAGGAGGAGGAGGAGAAAGTTGGCCACATCTTTGGGGCGACCAGGCACCAGTGTCATGACAATGCCACATGCCACTTCTAGGGCACCAATGCTCTTACGGAGAAGGATGGAGCTGACTCCCATCTTCTTTAGCATGGGGAGGGCCCGCACGTAGCTTTTGTATGCTCGTTTCTGAAATCAAGCAGTAATAGTGTAGAACAGCACAATGTGAGAAAGGAAAGGCAAAGGTGATTGATGTGCAGTATGACCTAAAGATCACTTTAGTCATCACAGACCCCTCTGGCACAATATCAGAGCCATATCTCTAAAGCTTCTGTTGCAGGAATATTAATGCCATCAACATGCAGTCCTCTCATAAAAGCTGTTGCCTCCTTGCTAGAAAACAGTTCTGCAGCCTACCACCCATCTCTGGAGCTAGGACCAGGTCAGGTGTACATTCTGAAATCTGAAGTTAAGATTCCTAGAATTAGCAATGCAGAACCATGTTATTGGAAAAAGTACCTGCCTCTCTCTAAGAGTAACTTGTCCTTTACAATGAAATAATGCACCAAGCCACTGCAAAGCTGAGGCATGGGAAGGAAAACCACAAGTCTCAAAGCAACTTACAGTACTCCAGTGTTTATGGGCAGTGCATGGGACTACACACCAAGGCTGAGATTCACCAGCCCAATCCTGTGCTTACATACCTTTAAGATGCTTTGTTTCCTCAGATGAAAGCAAGCTGACATTTGACATCCTTTGCTCCCTGGTTTACACTGCATTTAGAAGCAGCTTAAGTTGCAAGACAGCCTCCTTACATAGCTGTCTCACTACTTCAGGGAAGAAACAGCCTTACACATGTTCAGGTTCTTGCATTTGAACATTAGGTGCTCGTGGGTTTATTGATTTTTGTTTGGATTTTTTATTTTTCAATCATTTCCTTTTTTATATATTTTAATAATGCTCCTAGTTATTTAAGACACTGAAATTATTTCCACTTACTCTTGAGCATACTATTCCTGAAGATAGTCTTGCCATTGTGTTCACTGCTTTGTAATCAGGGAGAGGGAATGGAAGATGAATCTAAAGTACAGATTTGCTCAGCTCTCTCAGGCACTGATCATACTACAGATTTACTTCCATGTTATTTTGGAAACCTGCACTACAGGCAAACAGAGCTTCCCCACTTCTCTGTAAATTGTGCTGCTTCCTTCTAAGAGGAGCTGACACTTCACATGTGGTTAAAAAATATACAGCATTGTCATTTTTGTACTACATAATTGAAGATCTCATCACACATTTACTCTTAAGTATATGCATTGTAAGGACACATTTTAAACCTTCAGCAAATAAAACCTCTCATCAGAGTAGAGTATTTTTAAACAGTTGGGAAAAATACATCTTTTTAAAGAAAGGTACTATCAGCATGTCCTAGACCACTCTGGTATTTTAAGTATTTTAATAAAACTAGTATGTCTGGTTTTTGCTAAATGAAAAACTGTAAGTTTGGTGTTGTAGATAGGTAACTGAAGTGCTTGGGTTAAACCCCCAGCCTGAATGAGGGTTGGCATATAGATGATCTCCACAACCAGGCAAGAAAGACCCTCGTGACGGGTTTTCACCCAGGGTCTGGCCAGCCTTGGGAGGGGTCACCACCAGGTGCCCCCACCTTCCACATTAACCTGGAGGTGGGCCAAGAAGCCACCTCTAGAAGAGCTGACTCTGCCTGCAGTGGAGTTGGGAGGCTTGTGTACACAGTGCATGTGCTGTGTGGGGATTCTGGCCATTGAAAGGGCTCCCTGACTCATAGCAAGTAGCATGCCCAATAACAGCAGGACATGGATCGAGGCAGGAAGGGAATTATGAGGCTTTCTCCTGGCAATGACTATATGATCAGGAGCAGACTGATGACCTGGGTCCTTCCTTCCCCCATGGCTTGGGTTTGGAATCAGCTCATGCCCTTCTTTGTTATGTGTCATGAGTGAATACATTGGTTTATTCATTCCTCCAGTGGTGGGCCACCTTGTATCTCTTGCATATGATCTAAAACCAGAGGGAGGGATCTGGCTCATGTATTGCCTATTAATGATAATATCCTATCATCATTAGACTAATGCCTAGTCAGCCAAATGGTCAGAATAAAGTTGGTGTCCTGGACAGCCCCATCTGGGATCCCTGATTGGAGATACCCTCCATACCATTTGGTAGCCCTTGAATGGGCCAAGATTGCTGGAAGGTCAATTAGGAGATGCCAAACCTTGTAATATACTAGATATTCTCCAGAAATTATCCTATGAAAAAGGTGAGAACACTGTCAGACAGGAATGGATGTTGCTGACCACGTGTAAGAAACACCACGAATTAAAAGAACACAACACTCCCATATGGAGTGGCAGCTCAATGCTTTACAGAGTCAAATCACAACATTACAGTGCCTGAGTAAATTCCTACCCAATAAGCTGGTTATTTCCCAGATATCACCTGAGAAAGCTGAACTGAGAGTTGCCCACCATAATCATAAGAGAGGGCAGGTTACTCGGAGAAAGGTTCGCTCAGCTGTGGTACAAGAGGAAGATGATCATGTCTGGTACACAACAGATTGTCATGAGGATGACTCCTCAAGTGAGATGATGTAAGACCAGTGTATAGGCAAAGGGCAGAATTGGATGACAACAGGTGCCTGCTGAGAAAAGATGCATTAGAAGATTATACACAGCAAAAGGTAAATGACATCGCTCAGCAGTTTAAAAAATGGCCAGGAGAACCCCTGCTCTTGTGGCTGGCACACCTATATGATCAGGGAGCATCAGGGATTATTCTCGATGAGGCAGACTCTAGGCAATTTGTAATGCTGAATGCAAATTCTGCTGTGCAAGATGCATTTTAGAACAGTGATCAATTAACTAATTTGTTGGCCTTGGTCACTGAGGGTTGTAGAAATAAATACCCGATGGAGAATGCCTGGCCTGGATTGGCCCGGCCGTGGTACACTCTGTGAGACAGACTTCAACACGTGAAAGAAGGGATGAAATTAGCTATCTGCTGGCCGAGCTGATGCCTTAGTGCCATTTGCATCCACCGTTTCCATGAGAAATGCAGTTATTAGAACTGCTCCACCAGCCTATAAACATAAATTGAGGATGCTTTTACTTAATGAGGCAGGGAAGTCCATCAGAGAAGTAATTGATAAAATACAAAAACTGTGGCATCGTGGACAAGGGGTCCTCCAAGAGACTGAAAGAAATCAAAATTCCCAACATCAGTGGGGTCCTGGGAGAATGAAGAGCGAGAAACCCATCGCTGTAGGACCAGCCAACACAGAATCTCTCGAAGGGAGATGCTTGTGGCTTTGCTAAAGATTGGAGTACCCTGCAGCAAAACTGATGGTGCCAAAACCCAGGAACTATGGAGATTATGCAAGCAGAGGGGGGTTACATAAACCCCACAGAAAAGTGCAGAGGTATAAGGCAAACAACTCAGAAGCAGTTCAGCCTTTGGCACCTCCTCTGGAAACTCAACAGGACTCCACATTTGCCCACAGAAAGCTCCCTGCAGATGGGTCAGCTGTTTCGGGGCAGAAGGATGATGAGTGGCTGCATTCTGACTTGTACCCTGGGAAAGAACTGAATGAAACAATGTGACATCACAACTCAGACTGAAATGATGGCCAAGTTCTGATACAGTGGGCACAGGAGGACCAGTGACCCTAGGTGGAGCTGCAAATATTTTGGAAAAAACGTTCCTCACAAAGAGTGAAAGCCTTAGTTGATACTGGAGCAAAGGCCTCTTTAATTTATGGAAATCCTAAGAAGTTCAAAGGACAGGTTGTGATTATTACAGGCTTGGGAGGAAAACAAATTGAAGCTGTGCAAACCCAGATAGAAATGAAGACTGGAAACCTCCCAAAACAATTGCATCAGATTATGATTATTCCTGTCACAGAATATGTAATAGGAATAGGTATTCTAAAAGGTCTTACCTCAAACCAGTACCAATTTGGTGTAAAGAACTATATCAGTGCCTGGGCAATTTTAGTAGGAAAAGTAAAAATGCTCTCTGTGCAGATTCCAGCTGCAGCCAAAGTCATGACAATGAAACACAAAAATGCTCTCTGTGCAGATATCAGCTGCAGCCAAAGTCATGACAACGAAACAGTAGAGGATCCCAGGCAGGCCTGAAGAGATTTCCCAAACAATTAAGGATTTATTGGCTGGAGGAGGTTTAAAATCAACCACTACAGCCTGGAACAATCCAACCTAGCCTGTTAAAAAGAGTGATGGGTCACAGAGAATGATTGTAGTTTTCAGGGAATTAAATAAGCACAGCCCACCTCTCATGGCAACTGTACCTGACACTGTCACTTTAACAGAAGAGTTCAGAAGCATCCTGGAACTTGGTATGCTGGGACTGATTAGGCTAATGCATTTTTTACTATCCCAATTGCAGAGGAACTCTGGGATCAGTTTGCCTGTACGTGGCAGGGGCAGCAGCACACCGTTACACCAGGCTGTGTCAAGGATGGGTGCATTAGTCCAGCTGCTTGTCATCGAATACTGGCTGAGCATCTGGATGAAGTAAAAATGCCTCCTCATATGTAAACAGTACGTTATAAAGATGACCTCCTGATTCAGGGCAGCAATGAAGAGGAATTACAGCAGAACTTGAATTGGTTGTGGTCTATATGAAACAGAAAGGCTGCGAAATTAATCTACTAAAATTCAAGGACCATCTCACATGGTGAAATTTTTAGGAAACCACTGGCACTGCGGACATTGGGAGATACTACCTAAAGCCCAACAGAAAATTCTGGACTTTCTGGTAGCACAGGATAAGAAAGAGGCACAGAGATTAATCAGATTGTTCAGCTTTTGGAGACAACACATTCCACATTTAGGAGAGATTTTGGCCCCACTGTATGAAGTGACCAGGAAGAAATATGAATTTGATGGGGAAATGAGCAGCAGTCTGCCTTTGAATTAGCAAGAGGCTATTCAAAGGGCTTTAGATTTATGGCCAATGCAAAAAGGAGAAGTGGAGTTGAATGTATCTGTAAATGGGTCATATGCTAATTGAAGCCTCTGGCTAAAACAGAGAAGGAAAAGAGTCCCTTTAGTATTTTTGGGAAGAAAATTACCAGAGACAGGAAATAACTATACTCCCTTTGAGAAACAGCTGTTAGCCTGCTATTGGGCAGTGGTGGAAACAGAACAGCTCACGATAGGACATGAAGTGGCTCTTTGCCCTGAAATTCCTATTATGCAGTGGGTTAAAAGTTCTCCAGAAACCCACTGAACTGGGCATACTCAGGAATCGAGCATTATAAAATGGAAGTGGTATATTCAGGACAGAGCTACGGTGGGAGGTGGTGGGGTTGCTGCACTCCACGAGCAAGTGGTTGCTGCCCCCATGAAAGATCAAGAAGTCTGATCCTATAGGTGAACAGGAATCCTCTGTGCAATGGGGAAAGACCTTGGATCTTGAAAAGGAACATTCATGGTTTACAGATGGGTCAGCTAAATATAGAGGAGGAAAATGATTTTGGAATGCTGTAGCCTATCACCCTCACTTGGGGAAATTTTTAGCGACAACAGGAGAAGGAAGAAGTAGCCAATATGCTGAGTTATATGCAGCATATATGGCTTTAAAAGAAGAGGATTCAGGGGAGTGTCATCTATACACTGATCCTTGGTCGGTGGCTGATGGATTGGCTACTTGGCTGCCAATGTGGAGAGCCAAGGACTGGAAAATCTATTCCAAAGAGATCTGGGGGAAGGAACTCTGGAAGGATATTTGGGAAATAATTCAAAGAACAAGGTGACTGTATTTCATGTTGATGCCCATAGTAATATAAATTCACTAGAATGACTTTATAACTCTGTCACTGACAACTGAGCAAAGATTTCCCAAGCCAGACTGGAGTTCCCTCAGGAGGAGGACCATGAAGGCTTGGCAAAATGGGCACACCAAAAATGTGGGCATCTTGGAGAGAAGGCCACTTACAAGTGGGCCCAAGAGCATGGCATAGTAATGTCACTTGATATGATCAAAACAATCACTGCCCAATGCCCTGTGTGCCAGCACACTCATAAACGTCCGGTGCCAAATGTTGTGAAAGGAGACTGGGCAGAGGGAAATTGCCAGAAGAAATCTGGCAGATGGACTACATTGGAGCTTTACCCTAAGACCAAGGATGTAAGTACATTTGCACAGCAGTAGACACATGCTCTGGACATTTGGTTGCTCATGCCTGCAAAAATAACCTACTCACCATAGTACTATCTGTACCATAGATACAATCTATCTTGTACTATGTATTTTGTACTATGATCTTGTACTATGGAATCCCATTACAGATTCAAACTGTTAAAGGGTCTCACTTTCAAAACAAATTTGTACAACAATATGCTGAACAGCAAAATATTCAGTGGATTTTTCATATACCATATTATCCTCAAGCTGCAGGCCTGATTGAACGGATGAATGGGCTATTAAAGGAGCAGTTAAGGAAGCTAGGAGGTGGAAATCTGTCCAGGTGGAGAACTCATCTCACAGATGCACTGCGTACTCTCAACAATGCTCATGACTATGCCAAATTTGCAGATACAGCCTCTAAAAGTGAGTGAAACTTTGACTTATTGGGAAATTGTCCCAGGTGCAATGGTCCCCTACCGAGCCACTCCAGAGGCTGCTGGGCTAGGTCTTTATGCATTAGAATTGACAAAAATAAGTCAAAACCAGATGAGAATTATTAACATCAGGATAGGAATCCAGATTCCCCCCAGAAATTTTGGTCTAATAGCTGTTTGATCAAACTTAGCCCCAAAGGGTGTTCATGCCATGGGAGGAGTGACTGATGCAGACTATCAAGGAGAAATGAAGGTAATCTTGTTTAGTAATGGTGAGCAAGATTTGGTTATTCAACCCCACAATAGAATAGTGCAGTTATTGATATTGCCAGTTTTAAAAACAACAGTGAGGATGGGGGGAACCACCACAAGTTACCACCATGCGTGGGCATAAAGGGTTTGGATCCACCAATTTTAGTAATGGAGCAAAAGTGTTGTGTCCAAGGGCCAAAGTGGCCCTCCTGAACCAAATGAAGGAATTAATAGCTGCAGGGAAGGATAATCCCATCTTAATCATGAAGCCCAGGCAAGGAAAATGGGAACACGTCCCTGCAAATAAAGTGTTACCTGTGAGAATGACCAGATGGTGTAGAACCTTATTTTACAGACCCAGTGCAGAGCTGCCGAGAGTGCGAGGACAATGTGTGAACAATCTCAATTTCTATGTGATGATGGACACTGTGCTTCCTTACTACGGAGGCATGATGGTGATGGCAGTGTCAGAAGTGCCTGCATGAGGAGGATGTGTGCTGAATCTGACTTTATGCCCATCAGTGGGCAGTGTGTGCCTAACAGACAGCAGTGATGAGGCTCTGAACTTCGAGGATGGGTCCAATAGGGGTGCCAAACTGTGCCGAGCAAATGAAACCAGCTGTGGACCTCAGTCGAGTCAGTGTGTCCCTGAGTCCTGGAAATGTGAGGTGGAGAATGATGTTTCTTCACCCAGTGGTAGCGTGAGGATTGTGACTTATCCATGTGCCAAATGACCAAATGAAATGCTGGGGTTAAACCCCCAGCCCTTAATGAGGGTTGGCATATGGATGATGTCCACAACCAGGCAAGAAAGACCCTCCTGACGGGTTTTCACCCAGGGTCTGGCCAGCCTTGGGTGGGAACTGATGAGGAGATCACCATCAGGTGCCCCCACCTTCCACATTAACTTGGAGATGGGGCAAGAAGCCACCTCTAGAAGAGCTGACTCTGCCTGCAGTGGAGTTGGGAGGCTTGTGTACACAGTGCATGTGCTGTGTGGGGATTCTGGCCATTGAAAGGGCTCCCTGACTCGTAGCAAGTAGCGTGCCCAATAACAGCAGGACATGGATCGAGGCAGGAAGAGAATTATGAGGCTTTCTCCTGGCAATGACTATATGATCAGGAGCAGACTGATGACCTGGGTCCTTCCTTTCCCCATGGCCTGAGTTTGGAATCAGTTCGTGCCCTTCTTTGCTATGTTAAGCAGTCAGCAGAAACGTAGCAGGGTTTCTCTGCTTCGGGTAAGAAGCCAGGCTCATTGATTAGCAGGATCAAGTTTTCACTGTCTCCATTATGTGTCAGACTACCCTGGTATGCAGCACAGTAAAACCATGACAGACTTAACGAGCGATGGACATGTTACAATAAAGGTTATTAAGAATGATGGAGCTCTGTGATATCCACCTACCTCTGCTTTCTCTTTGCAAAAGCAGATTATTCCTACTTGTAGTTCTGACTCCTATTAAAGCAGAAAGGGACAGAGAACCAAAATACATTACAGAGCAAGAATTTTGAAATGCTTCTAAAAGCTCAGTGTTTTCTTCTGTTCCTTATGTAGCAGAAGTTTAAGAGCTTTGTTTTCTGGGCATTTAATCTTGGTTTCTTGCTCCTGAGCTACTTGGTGAGTCTTCTCTGAGACCCCTGTGCTGGTATGCAGATGAGGCACTATGATTCAGATGTTATTTGAGAACTAAGGAAAAGCAGCTAGGCAGGTGGAGCAAAGGTAGAGAACAGAATGTGCTGGAAACTTCCAGCCCTATTTTTCTAGGGGCACAAAAATTATACTAATGCTTCTCAGCCACGCCAATAAATGTAACAGGGAGGTGGAGGAGGATGGGGGGGCAGGAGGGAGTGGGCACGGGCAGGAGAATAAACAAGCACAGACAAAGAAGTAAGATGTGGCAGCCAGTCCCTTGCCTGTCTGCACCTTGCAGTCAGCAAAGCTCTGCAGCAGGCTTGGCCCTGGGCAGAGAGGAGGACAAACTAAGCCGAGAAATGCACACATCCTCTCCTCACTCCTTTCCCGTTATGCAAGAGGAAGAAAGGCTCATTTCCCAGGCTAAAGAGAATAATAAGGTTACTATTAATAATATCTTCTGCCAGCTGAGAATCTCAAAGCATTTCACAGTCATAAATTAATCCCTGCACAAGTCTGGTGAGGCAGCGACAGTCAGTTTCATTATCCTTGCTTTAAAACACAGAATTTTGAGGATGATCACCTGGCTGCCAAAGCAGACATCTGCTTTTTTACCCTGAGTCCAGGGGGTCTCTGAGGGATCAGGTATACCTGCCTGTTATGTGCCTGGCACTTCTTCAGATCTCATCTTTCAGAGACCCTTGTGTCCCCCATCTTTTGCAAGCACGGGTGTGCTGTGCTGCCTCATCCTCATTGCCTCCTCTCCCCATCCCTATCCACAAGAGGTTTCTCCATGAATAGGCTCAGATAACAGAGCCCAGGTGCAGGCTGCCAGGATATCCTCAGCACTCGATATTATTTGTTTCTCTGTGTCCATCAAATAAGGAGACAGATAAGCTTCTTTCCTCTCCCATCCACCACTCAGGGCTCCAGAGCAGTCACCCTCTGTGTATCCCACTGCAAACGCTGCTGCTGCCGCAAGGCTGAAGGGAGAGCCCTGATACATCTCCCTCCATACTGCCACCGTCATACTCACCATCTCATTGTAGGCATCTCTGCTCAGCCGCGGGGTCAGTTTGATGGTCCCCATAAAGACGAAGAAGAGCCCCAGGGCTACAGAGAGCACGACGATGGTGATGGTTCGGGGAGATGCCATGGAACTGCCGGGGATCAGTCCTGCAAACCGGTCCTAGCGGGGCCTTCTTGCTCTGTCTGCCAGCTCCGGCAGGAGGTAGTCAGTCACCATTGAAGGAGCTGAGGAATAAAGCTGCAGAGGAAGCGAGGCTGACAGCAGGCGCGGGATTCAGCCTCTTCCACTCGGCAACCTCCGGGTCCTAGTGCCCCGCAGCCACGCAGCTCTAGCACTTCCCGAGCAATGAGCATTCCCACTGCTCCTGCCATCCTCTTTCCTTGCACGCTCCATAAATTGCCCACAGAAAGCTGAGCCTGAGCCAGTTCTGGGGACGTGGGATGACATGCACACACTTAGCGCGGTTGCTCACTAGTGGGAGAACATGTTAGCAGAGGGCACAGGCGTAACCTGCTATGGAGGAAAGGTGGCCAGAGGTCTCTTATACATAGGCAGCTTTCAGGTTCAGCTGCTCAGACACTAGTACACAGCAAACAACAAATTAGTTTTCTTGCCCCTGTGGCTGTCGTGGAACCTGATACCCAAAAGGGATGGTGAGGCCACTGTGCCACCCCTCCCACTGCAGATAAATACCTGTTCTGTACATTCAGCTCTCCACAGATGAGTGGGGAAACTTCCTGATCCTCTGTTACTTTCTGATTTAAAGTCACTATCTCTCCCCCCACACTTTGCAACGACTTCCCTTTGACAAAAGCATAGCTAGGTTAAGCAGACACCCATTCAGATCTCAAAAGAAGCCAAGGTGCCATTATACAAAACAGAACTGCTGAAAAACTGCATCCCTTGCTATAAACTGAAAAAAAAAGTACCTGTAACATTGTGCAAAGATCTTCAGCTCATGGGGTAGTACAAGAGTGACACTTCCTATGCCCGTCAAGAATCTCCCCATCACCTCCCTTTCATGTATAGTAAGTCTCAGATCCTAAATGGATTTATTTTAAGCCCCCATGGCTTGAGAACTGATGGTTGTTGTTACTATTCCAAGCTCAGGGTTCCCTAGGGGTGGAGTCTGAAAAATACAGTATGTCCCTGTTTCCTTGGAAGTCTATCAGCCTTGATTCACCCAAATCAGATAGGGAATGCCTCTTTTGGAGGAAAGAGTCAATAGCCTGTCTGTGAAAATGTGTTCTGCTACTGGTCTGGCCTAGATGACCAGGATAAACCAAAGGGTAATCTCAGTACAACATGGAATTAAAAAATAAAAATAGCCCTCAAAGCAATGTCAAGTTCACAAAATGCAAGGGAACTCTGCTCACTCAGACCTGCCTCCAGGTTGTAGCAGCCTCATCTTTTGAAGAGCTGGAGAGAACTTCATGCAACGTTAAGGTTCACATCATGCCAGTCAGCAAGCAAGGCATGATAGATACAAAACACACCAAATTTTTTAATCAGCTGTTGCGAGGCAATCTGACAAGGAAGTAACTTGTTGTTGCTGACATTTTCACAGGGCACTTCGTATTTAGGTATCAGCAAACATCAGTGGAGAAGGGGGAGGCAGGTGTGGAAAGAGAGACACTGAAATCTATTATTTCTTCATTTTGTTTTAGAGAAAAAAATCTTTCTCATTGCCTGCAACTTACCCATGTGACTGACGGTGATTCGATACTGGTTTTGGAAGTTTATACAGGAAATATTTCCCTGGCCCCCAAAATCAACATTTTCCTAGTGGAGCATGAAGATTTCTTGTTACTACAGCTTATTCATAGCAAGTTCACCGTCGACTCAAAAAACACCTGAAATATCATTGAAGCAAGCAGAGAACTAATGATATGGTAGTATCAGAAAATACAATGGATTTTAGTACTTTGTATTCACATGCTGATAGTGAAAACTCACAATACCAGGGTGTCGTGGAGGCACCCATGAAACAAGACAGCAGCTGCTATCACAAAATGGGGTTCATTGCAACCAAAGTTGCCCAGCACTCCTCCTGACAAAACGAGTTCAATGTCTGTTGGGAATAGAACTACTGCACAACTAACATAAGGAAAGACAAACCAAAATGGGCATGCACTCACAAATAAAGGGAAAACCTCCCACACACAAGTGCCCAGATCCCATTCACCATGGGGGGGAGGCAGGGGCAGGGGGCAAGGTGCACTCAATCCACAGAGGCTCAAGCCAAACGTGTAAGTATCCTTGGACAGCGTGTCCTGACAACTACCACAGACCACAAGTCTGTGAAGAACCAGCTCGATAGGTTCTTAGCCTGTGCCCCATTTATACTCCAGCCGAGGGTGCACTGTGGTCATTCTGATGGGCTGAGGAGCAAGCCCAGACAAAACAAGCTACAGGGAGTCCAGACCCTCAGGCACCAGTTAACACCTGTAACTGCCCTGTTAGCCCTGGTTTCGTTTGTCTCCTGGGGAAGGGGGGGTTGCATCTGCCACACAGGGAGAGGGTATTTTTCAGCCTGCTTTAACCAGTAGCCCTAGAAGAGGTTTGGATGGGAGGGAGGGGAGGTGAAAAGCTAGAGAGAACCTTATCCCCCCAGAAATCTGAGTGTCTCCTTAGAGAATAGTGTAGATAGGCAACCCAAAGTAAGAGCAAATGCAAAATAATTTTTATACAACTTTCAAGAATATAAGTTAAAATCTGAACTACATGAACTCCAGTCTTCAGGACAGTAAGAGGTTGCTTCCCAAGTGTTCAGAATACCTGCTGCCTTGTCAGTAAGTAAACAGCAGCACCAGCTCACAACAAACAGTATAAGGAAACTTGTCAAAAGGGTGGGGACAAATGGCTCTCTTGCCAGTTTCTTCTCTGGGTCAGGTAGGCAGCACAGCCTGTGGAAAGCCAAGAGAGGCCCCTTAGACCAGTAGCTGAAGCCTTCCCACCATTATGAGCAGAACAGCACAGAGGATGCACTAAGGAGGTATCGTGTTTGGCTAACAACATTCAGAGTCTGCAGCTGACACTGGCTGAAATCTGGAACCATCAATACTGAATCCCAAACCAGTTCTGAAAAACACCTAGACAAGCTGAAGAGTCAGTGGCAGATTCAAAGCTCCCCTTCTCACAAGCCATCCCAGATGAAAGACAAAATACCCTTAAGAAATAATCCTCAGTTTTGCACTACCTTCATTGGTT